TTCTAAATAGGATCATCAGCATATGGATCATAAACATCACCTTCATTAGTAATAATATCATCAGCTATATATAATTCCACAAATAATCATCTTCTATACCATCAAATCCATTGGATAGTCCACATTTCTTGAATGATTTGGTGGTAATCTCCATCTCCATTTCTTCCCTGTCCTCTACAACCCAGTCACATGAGGTTGCTGACATTGGAGTCTGCATGCTGTATCGCTTGGCGAATTTCATCTCTCATAAAGTCATCCAGTCAGTCCACTTGTCAGATTTTAAAAACAGAGAAGTCTTGTTCTAACTGTACAGGGTTTTGGTGAGGCCACACCTGGAGTACTGTGAACTGTTTTGGTCCCCAAATTTAAGAAATGAATTACTGGCATTGCAGGCAGTTTAAAAGATACCTACAATGAAGGGGTTGAATTATCAAGAACGGCTAAACAGATTAAGCTTTTATTCATTAGAATTCAGAAGAATGAGAGGTGATCTTATTAAAACAAGCCTCTCTGCTCCTATGATGCTGCTTGGCCTGCTGTGTTCATCCAGCCCTGCACCTTGTTGTCTCATACAAAATTATGAGGTGGCTTCACACAGGGTGGATGTTGAGAAGATGGTTCCACTAATAGGGAAATCGCAAACTAGGGGACATTGTTACAGAATAAGGGGATATTCATTTAAAACTGAGATACGAAGGAATTTCTTCTCCCAGAAGGTAGTGAATGTCTAGAATTCTCTATCCCAGAGAATTGTGGAGGCAAGATCACTGAAAGCATTTAAGGAGAAGATAGATTGTTGAAATATTAGGGAGTTGAGAGTGACAAGGAGCTGGCTCAAAAGTGTTGAGGACTGGGGGTAGATCAGCCATGATCTTGTTGAATCGTAGGACAGACTCGAGGGGCTGAATGGCCTACCTTTGTTCCTATTTCTTATGTTCTTAAGTTCAGATTTTTCTCCTGCCAACCTTGAAAGCTTTGCGTAGAGAGAAATCTAATGGTCGAGCAAGGCTATTTGGGCCACCAGGAATCACAATAATATCTACTGTTTTATGGTCTAACTTCACTAACAACATCATCAGCAATGTGTGACCTAAATATGTCCCAGACAGGAAGACTTTTTTTTACATAATTCTCTTGATTAAACTAAGTTGCAGAGGGATCTGGAAAGATTTACGAGGATGATGCTGGGAATGGAGGGTTTGAGTTATAAGGAGAGGCTGGATAGGCTGGGATTTTTTTCACTGGAGCGTAGGAGGTTGAGGGGTGATCTTATAAAGGTTTATAAAATCATGGGAGGTTTTCAGCAACACTGCTCCCTCTCGATGTTTGCTCTCTGTTTGATTGGCTGGTATGTCAAAATTAGTGGGAGTCACATTCATATCCTAACATAGGCCAATCTGTATCCAATCCTTTATCAATATTTGATTATACACTGCTGAAATGCAATAAACTTGTCATCAAGTTCTGCTGGGAGTCACTAAAATCTCACTCTTCCTTAGTGTTGTAAGATTGTTTCTCTTCATAAACCTGGTACAGTATGCAGAGCTGCCCATGAAACCTACAATGACATTTCAGGGCAATGATTCAGATAGACCCACAGGAAACTGACTATATTCTGCCAATTTTCATTGATGTATTTTGCTACTTCATCCTCCAACTGTGACCACATACAAGGTTTCCTCTGTTTGCTCTGTTTATCTTAAGCATTTGCCTAAGTCTCCTCCAGTTTTTAATGTTCCTTTCAAAAAGCTTGGCTTCTCTAGCTAATGTACAAGTATTCATCTGTTCTGCAATCTCATCAACCATTAAGTTTGAACTGGGCTGTATATCTGCCTCTTTCTTCTTGATACTTTATTTCTATATTTGAGGGTGGGATTGTCAGGGATACAGCAGGCACTAGGGAGATGGTAACCTTGACATCAAGCGTTGACATGCACACACACAAGGAGCTAAATTTCAATGGTGTGCCATTCTATGATCCACTCAAGTAGATTTGCACCAGTGTACGTTTGACTTCAGTAGCACAAGAGTGCTAAGTACAGAAGGTTTGTTCATTTTGAACACAAGTTGCAGTTAGAATTACAAACAATGTAAATGCAAAATTAATAATTTTTGATGAAAATTCATGAGTTGACATTTACTGAGATCAACTATTAGTACATACGATAGTATTTAAAAGCACTTCACCAGATCTGCGCCCCTCCATGCATACACATTTTTCACTTCCCTCAGTGCTATAACTCATCTTGCAAAGACATCCGGTTTTTCTGCCCTTTGCACCGTTATGGCCTTATCTGGTCTAATGGACATTTATCATGACAAGTTATCAACATTTCAAAATTAGAAATTATCATAACATAATTACCAAATTGCCCATGCTGTGACTCTGCTTCTTGGCTTACCTACGTTTTGTTATTAACTTATTTTGATTCCTTCCTGATCGTATGACCTCTTTATCTATTGTCTAATATATTCTTGACCCACTTTACATCTTATCCTGTTATCACACACATACTTTTTAATTCTTGCTCCCTTTCTTATATACAAGTTCACACCATTAATTTGTATCTGCAACATATTTTAAGAAGCATCTTTTTAAAATTATTGACAATCCCTCTCTTTTTTCTAATCAATATTTCCTCTAACTTAAGAGTATTCTGCAGACATTTCCAGTTAGTCCTTTTTGTAAAGAATAATCAAATCATTTTATGACAACCCCTGTCTTAGTCCTTACAAGATTTTTAACAATCCTAGTGCAATTAAAAATGTTCTCAAATTGGATGATCAATGAAAGGAAACTTCTTTGAAACATTGGCAGACTTGTACATGTTTAGAAACCTGCTATTTAATGGGAATGTTTATTTCTGAAGAAGGGTCTAGGCCCGAAACGTCAGCCTTCCTGTTCCTCTGATGCTGCTGGGCCTGCTGTGTTCATCCAGCTCTACATCTTGTTATCTCAGATTCTCCAGCATCTGCAGTTCCTACTATCTCTGTGCCAGAGGTTCTGTTAATTTGGGAGCCAGCTCTGAGATAGTACATGACACTGACCTGGCTCCTTAAGTGTAAATAATGGGTGACTTGGTAATGGGATACTGGCCTTCAAGGAGTTATTTCACAAACCTACTTTACAAGTCATCAAATTAATGTCAAACAAAATTACTTCACATTCACACTCAATCATTACAGAAGACTTAGTATTTGTTAATACTAGGCCAGATTCTGCTTTGACAAGGCAGTTGTGGCATCTGCCATTAAATTAGCTTGCCTTGTGCACCGGCTCTAAGATGTTTGGTCCGCAAAGATGTTGAACTTATGAGCTGATAACAGCATAAAAAATAAAATATCTGAATAGTGAGGGAACAGCCATTGTACTCAAAACATTACCTCTGTTTTTCTCTCAACAGTTGCTGCTAGACCTGCTGAGTTTCTTTAGCACTTTCTGTTTTTGTTTCAGATCTGCAGCTCTTTATTTTATTATAAAATCTGTCAGCAACTCCTTACAATTGATGGTGGGATATTTTAACTCCCGCACATAATTCAGTCACCACCAGAGGGCGCCAATAAGGCATATATCATTTGATGGTAAGAGGCAGATTTTTACATTGAGTTGCAACATAGAAAGAGCAAGAACTGCAGATGCTGAAGTGGCGAACCAGTTTAACTCCCCCTCCCACTCCCTGGACGACATGTCCATCCTGGGCCTCCTCCAGTGCCACAATTACACCACCCGCAAACTGGAGGAGCAACATCTCATATTCTGCCTCGGGAGCCTACAGCTCGATGGCCTAAACATGGAATTCACCAGATTTAAAATCTCCCCACCCCCGGCCTCGTCCCATGACCAACCCTCCCTCTCATCCCCGCCTCCTTGACCTGACACAACCTGTCCATCTTCTCTCCCACCTATCCGCCCCACCAATCCCCATGACCAATCCCCACCTCTGCGTACCTGCACTCACCTATCACCATCCCACTTACCTTCCCCAACCTCACACCTCCTCTCACCTCCCCTTCCCCATTTCTGAAGAAGGGTCCCGACCCAAAACGGCAACTTCCCTGGTCTTCTGATGGAAACATGGAAGATGGAAGCAAGATGAGTCCATTCAGTCATTCGAGCCTGCCCCCACCATTCTTCACGATCATGGCTGATTGGCTAAACCTGCTTTATCCCTATACATTGTGCTTTTCAGATTTTTCAAAATATGTTCAACTATTCTAAAATATGCTTATGGATGTAGAAAATACACTGTCAGTCATGTTATTGTAAGTTTCAAGGTCACACAATTTAACAGTATTGCTGCAACACCGTAAATAAAAATGATTGCTGGGGTCAGATGTATCATTTTAAAAACTTTTTATCAATAATACAATGAGTCATTGTTCTTTTGGAACCTCTCCAGATAACATGCTCAAAGAGCTTCGAATGATTTTAAACTCCAACCTCTTTGCATGCCCTTCCAAAGATTCCAATTTATTTTCCATGCAGTATACTCAATCCAGTGCAGTAAATGCATATCGAAAGGTTGGCAATCCATTGTTTAAATTAGTGGTTTATCGAACTTTTGGAATGGTTTTCTCCTTCACAGATTACCTATGTTATCTGATTCATTCATGTGTGTACTTTCCCAAAGGCAGTCATAAAGTCACAGAATCCCTCCAGTGTCGAAAGAAGCTATTCGGACCATTGAGTCTGCACTGACCCTTTGAAGAGAATCCCAACCAGACCCACCTCACACCCTATCTCTCTGACCCCACATTTCCCATGGCTCACCTACCTAGGCTGCACATCCCAGGACACTATGAACAATTTAGCATGGCCAATCCACCCTAACCTGCACATCTTTGGACTGTGGGAAGAAACGAGAGCCCCCAGCAGAAACCCACGCAGATAGAAAGAGAATGTGCAAACTCCACATAAACAGTCACCTGAGGCTGAAATCAAACCTGTCCCTGGCACTGTGAGGCAGCAATGCTAACCACTGAGCCACCGTGCCACCCCCAAATGTGATTAGATGCCACTAAGTAGATGGCATTGCCATAACCATTTGTGTGTTGTAAAGCCACTAAATCGTCTTCCATCCTTATTAAGGGCATGCTAACCTCTCTCCTTTCATACAACACACTTTGGCACATTGTGTGTTGGTGCTATATCCTGAGCTATTTCCCTGACAGTTTTTATCAGTGGTGATTGGTGTTGCCTTCCACTCCAAAGGGCAGAGCAAAGACTCTTGTCTGTGTCCAGATCAAACCTGTCCTGTTGCTGTTATTCTGAAGCAACACATTAGCCAACTGAGCTCTGTTTCACCTTCCCACCTCCATCCCGCCTTACATCATCTGATGTTTTTACTTAAGTAGCATCACTACTCCCACATCCATGATATCATAACTTATATAACGTGGTAAAGCTCCAACAATTCTCACTAAACTTACCATAAGGCAAAAATAAACTGGATTGGAAAGAAACCATTTAGTCCATCAAGCATATTCCTTCCAACAAATGTCAATTCTATGATGGCTCCTCCCATCCCAGACTCGGCCCATCGAGTCTGCTCTACCATTCAATGAGATCATGACTGATCTGATAATCCTCAATTTCACTTTCCTGCGGTTTCCCCAGAAACATAATTCCCTTCCTGATTAAAAATCTGACTGTCTCAGTATTGAATATACTTAATGACTCTTCTGTCACAGCCCTCTGTTGTAAAGAATTCCACAGATTCACTACCCTCTGAGAGAAGTAATTTGTCCTCATCTCTGACTTAAATGTGCAACCCCTTATTTTGAGATTATGTCCTCAATTCCTAAAGCCTCCAACAAGGTGAAACAACCTTTCCAAATATACCCTGTCAATCCGCTAAGAAGAGTTTTTGGTCATCTCTCATTCTTCAATATTCCAATGAATACAGGCCTGATGTACTCAACATCTCCTTGAATAACAGTCCATCCAAACCTGGAATCAGCATAGTGAACCTCCTCTGGATCATCTCCAATGCCAGTATATCTTTCCTTAGATAAGGAATCCAAAACTGTTCACAATTGTCATGTGACTAGTGCTTTATATAGTTTTTGCAAACCCAATCTAGTATTCAATGCATTATTACACCAGAGGGATTATGTAAAGATGTTAAATTAACAACTCAAATTTCTTCAATTAATCAACTGAAAACTCCATGGTGCCAACCTGACATTGTCATCTATATAATTTGAACTGTAAACAATAAATTCTCAGTCAGACAGTGTTCCTTAATCATCTATGTCTAATTCATTTATTATCACCTGCCCAACCAGGTGTTCAAGCAAACACGATATAAGGGACATAGTCAATAGAACATATAAAAAATTCAGTGAGATGAAATAGAAACCAAAAATGCTGGAAATAATCATCAGATCCCAGGCAGCATCTGTGGAGACAGAAAATGGAATGATTAATTTTGTTTCTTTCTCTAAGTCTACTGCCTGATCTACTGATTATTTCGCACATTTAGTTTTCAGTAACACCATATGTTGCTTTTATATTAATTTTCTTAATGTCAGAATTTATGTCATTTCACTGCAGGGGAAGGGGTAGAAATCTCTAACTTGTTCACTCACGTACTGCAAAAAGAATTCTGACCCCGAAAGACATTGTGATATATTTTTGTGCATTTTCAACATTGTATGTGATCCTGTTGCTACACCACACCCTGATTTGCATTGCTAACGAGCCTCCTTCCCCGACCAGGTCATTTTAACACAGCATCTTGCTCGCATGCCCACTTGTCTGTCCCAAGCATGCTCCAATGCTCCAACGAATCACAGCGCGAACTGGAGGAGCAACATCTCATCTTCAAAATAGGCAGTTTACAACCTTCTGAGTTCAATTTTGAACCAAAACAGAAGTTGCTGGAAAAGCTCAGCAGGTCTGGCAGCATCTGTGAAGGAAAACCAGAGTTAACGTTTTGGGTTGGGTGACCCTTCCTCACAACTGATGGTAGAATCAGAGAGTCCTACAGCACAGAGACAGGCCCTTTGGTCCAAACTGGTCTGTGCTGACCAAAATGTCCATCCACGCTAACCCCATTTCCCTGCAATTGGCCCATATCCTTCTAAACCTATACCATCTATGTATTTGCCCAAATGCCTTTTAATTGGTGTTAATGTACCCGCCTCAACCGCTTCCACTGGCAGCTCATTCCATATACATACCACCCTCTGTGTAAAATAGTTGCCCCTCAGGTTCCCATGTATTCCTTCTCCTCTTACCTTAAACTGATGCCCTCTAGTCCTTGATTCCCCAACCATGGGAAAAAAAAACCGAGTGCATTCACCCTACCCACGCCTCTCATGATCTTATACACTTCTATAAGATCCCCCATCAGTCTCCTATGCTCTAAAGAAAAAACTCCTAGCTTGTCCAACCTCTCCCTATAATTCAGTCTGTTGAGTCCTGGCAACATCCTTGTAAATTTCTTCTGCACTCCTTCCAGTTTAATAGCATCCTTCCCATAGCACGGTGACCAAAACTGAACACAAAACTCCAAGTGTGGCCTCACCAATGTCCTGTACAACTGCATCATAACTTCACAACCTATATACTCAATGCCCTGACTGATGAAGGCCAGTGTGCCAAAAGCCTTCTTCACTGCCCTGTCTACCTGTGACTCCACTTTCAGAGACCTGTGTGCCTGAACTCCAAGGTCCCTCTGTTCCACTACACTCCTTAGGGCCCTACCGTTCACCATGAAATTCCCACCTTGATTTGACTTTCTAAAATGCAACACCTCAAACATATCTATATTAAACTCTATTTGCCATTTATTGGCCCACTTCCCCAGCCGATCAAGATTCTGCTGCAATTTCTGAATACCTTCCTCACTGTCCATGATACTGTCTATTTTAGTGTCATCCACAAACTTACTAATCATGCCTTGTACATTCTCATCCAAACCATTGATATAGATAACAAATAGTAATGGGCCCAGCACTGAATCCTGAGGCACACCACCAGACACAGGCCTCCAGTCTGACAAGCATCCTTCCACTATTACCCTCTGCTTCCTACCATCAAGCCAATTGTGTATCCAATTTGCCCGCTCTCCCTAGATTCGATGCAATGTAACCTTCCAGAGCAGCCTACCATGTGGAACTTTATCAAAGGCCTTACTGAAATCCATGTAGACTACGTCTACTGCCCTGCCCTCATCAACCTTCCTGGTCACTTCATCAAAGAACTCTAACAAATTTGTGAGGCATGACCTCCCATGCACAAAGCCACGCTGACTACTCCTAATCAAACCCTGTCTTTCTAAATGCATGTATATCTTATGCCTCAGAATCTTCTCAAGTAACTTACCTACCACAGATGTTGAGCTTACTGGTCTATAATTTCTAGGATTTTCTTTGCAGCCCTTTGTGAATAAGGGCACAACATTCACTATCCTCCAGTCTTCCGGGATCTTACCCGTGGCTAACGATGATGCAAATATATCAGCCAGGGCTCCCGCAATTTCTTTTCTAGCCTCTTGCAGGGTTCTTGGATATATCTGGTCAGGACCAGGAGATTTATCCACCTTCGTACATTCTAATACTTCCAACATCTCCTGTACTGTGATATGGACTGTCCCAAAGATATCACCACTGACTTCCCCAAGTCCCCAAATCTTCCTGTCTTTCTCCACAGTAAACACAGAGGAGAAATATTCATTGAGGAACTCGCCATCTCTTGCGGTTCCACATATACATGTCCACTTTGGTCCTTGAGGGGTCCTATTCTGTTTCTAGTTATTCTTTTTCCTTTAACATATTTAAAGAACCTCTTTGGATTCACCCTAATCTTCTCAGCCAAAGCTATCTCATGCCCCCTTTTCGCTCTCCTGATTTCCTCCTTCGGTAACTCCTGTATCCCCTCTGTACTTCCAGGGATTCCCTTGATTCTAGATGCCTGTTCCTGAGCCATGCCTCCTTTTTTCTGCTCAAAGCCTCAAAATCTCTTGTCATCCAGGGTTCCCTACTCCTGCCAACCTTACCCTTCACCCTCACAGGAGCATAAGGATCTTGAACTCTAGCTAACTTAACTATTGCAAAAATGCTGCCCCCTCCACACTTCACCAGCTCTGATGAAGCGTCATCAAGACTCAAATCATTAGCTTGCTGTCTCTCCACGGATGCTGCCTGACCTGCTGTAATCTCTAGCAATTTTTGTTTTCAGTTCAGATTCCTGCATCTGTAGTAATTTGCTCCCACCCATTTCAGCCAGATGCGTAGTCATTGTGGTGTAGACTGTGATTTATGTATACTTTTAATTTCATTTATCTTAAGTTGGCTTTTTGGAGGGATACTACCACTGCGCATAATCACTCTATTAGACTGATATTTTCTAATCAATCTGTTCAGTGACGCTACTCCATACTTCTGGAGCAAGTGTGACTTGGACCCTAGGCCTCCTGGAGTCCCTAATATATTTTTATAAGATGTACCTAATAATGTTGTCATTTCTGGTTCCCTTATTTCACTGGATTACTCCATTCGCTGAAGAAAACAACTCCATTGAGAAATGTAATTGGTGTCACAATTAAAAGACGGAAGGTAAATCCTACAGCCAGCCTCTGAGGATTACCCTGAGTATGAAATGGGAGACACAAGTCAACTGATTGCACGCTATAACTAGGAGGTAGCAGATGGCACAATATTGACAACTAAAACACGTCAACACTATCGAGAACAAAGCAAGAAACCTTATATAGCAAACTTTTCACATTTGTCATCAGGGACTGAAATTTCAATTGATGCTTTCGTTTAAAAATATTGTGTTAATGACTGGAGTCAAAAACCTACGTAACTAGATGGTCCGCTGACATAATCACTCTATTAGACTTGTCAACTAAGACAAGGGCACTGCAAGGGGAACTATGACTCAAGTTAAATATATCAATTATGAAGTAGGCCTCCCTTAAAAGGTCTGTTATTAATTTGATCATAGAATCTCTATGGTGTGGAAACAGGCCCTTTGGCCCAACAAGTCCACACTGACGCACAGAGTATTCCACCCAGACCCAACCCCTATAAACCCACACATCCCTGAATACTGTGGGCAATTTAACGTGGCCAATTCACCTGCACATCTTTGGACTGTGGGAGGAAAC